GCTGACATATTTTAAGATGTTTGAATTGTTTATGAAACTCCTACTAAATAGATGCAAGCTCAAAACTCAGCTAAAAATAAAGAGATGCACAAGAAATATAACCTGACTTTTACCATGTTATTAATGAATAGAAATAAAGTATGCCATGATATAAAAGAACCTAAAGCTGTCAGTAGATTTAAGGTTGTATCACTGTGGGCACAAAATTTGGTTGTTTATATCCATTATCCCTTTCTTAAACAGAACTTATCACTGCAAAATTGAATGTCTGAAAATAAATAATATTTCTTTAAAAAATTGTCAGTAAACACTACTGACAGTGAAATTTTGAATATACTGCCAAACAAAATAAAACTCTTGTTTAAAAATTATTATCCAGCCAAGTGCTATTGGCTCACACCTGTAATCCTAGCTACTCAGGTGGCTGAGATCTGAAGATGGTGGTTTGAGGCTACCCCAGGCAGAAAAGTCCCTCATAAGACTCTCATTTCCAATTAACCAACAAAAATCAAGAAATGGAGATGTGGCTCAACTGGTAGAGCATTAGCCTTAGGAAAAAAAAAATCAGGGACAGCACCCTAGCTATCATCCAGTTAAATGCCCTGATATTATTTATAGAAAAATATTTAGGGTAAACTATAAGAGATTTATGCTCAAGTATAAATTTCTATGAAAAGCCCAGTGCCCTGATATTTTTACTTATTTTGCACTAAAAAGTATTAGCTAATATATAAATGACAGTAGGAGCATATTCATGTTTAAAGACCAACTTAAAAATAATCATGAGTCAATGATTACTGCAAGAGAAATTAAGAAAAATAAAGCTGAGGAGGTAGGAGGGACAGGATGGTAGGAGAAAACAAAGGAGGAGGCAACAATGCTGGATAAGAAATGTACTCATTACCTTGCTCATGTAACTTTAACCCCTCTGTACAGTATTTTCACAATAAAAACATTTAAAAAAAGAAAAAGAAAACATAAAAAGAGATTAAAGGCAGAAAGATGAATATGTAATGATCTGTTAAATGTAATGAATATTTTCTCCTACCATTTCCTACTCTAAATTGGTTATCTATGTTATTTACTAGAGATATATGAACTACTTATGATAGTACTAATTTCTCTAATTCCTGAACAAAGACATTAGGAGACAAAAAGTGCTTAAAATATTTGCTGAGTATTTGAAGAACTTACACTAAATATTTATTTTAATACCAAAATAGTAAATGTGTTTTATAATGCCATATTATTTACTCTATAGCTCTCTCTGTAGAGACTGACAGTTTATATTTACCTTAAAAGGCAAACATTATGTGTTTTCCAATGTTAATTCCCAATCTTATTGCATTAAATAAATGCTTTACCAATGTGTTACTGTTCTGATAAACTAAAGATGCATTCTATGAACTAATCTAATCACTAAAATAATACAGAATAGCTTATAGCCAACAAAGAAGGCAAATGGAATCATCATTAATCTCAAACATGGAAGAAAGAAAAGAAGAAGGAAAAGAAAACAGTTGAAACAAAGACAAGAATAGCAGAATGAGCTGGGCAGCAGGAGTTCATGCCTAACCCTAGCTACTCAGGAGGCTGATATCTGAGGATGGCAGTTTGAAGCCAGCCTGAGCAAGAAAGTCCATGAGACTCTTATTTTCAATTAACCACAAGAAAACCAGAAATGGTGCTAAGGCTCACAGTGGTAGAGTACTAGCCTTGAGCAAAAAAGCTCACAGACAGCACCCAGACCCTGAGTTCCAAAACCTGAGTTCCAGACCCTGAGTGCCAAAAAGGAAAAAAAGAGAGAACAATAGAATGATAGTCTATAATCTATTCATTTAAACAACTGCATTAAATGTAATGGGTTTAAGTTCCACAGTTAAAAAGCAAGTCAGATTGGAACACACACACACACACACACACACAAGCAAGGCTCAACTAAATGCTGCCTACAAGAAACATACTTTAAATATAAAGATCCCCCAAACAGATTAAACTAGGGTAAAAATACGTCATGCTAATGCTAAGCAAAAATATTAAAGTGGCTACAATACTACAAACCAAGTAGATTTCAGAGCAAAAGATACAGAATAGCATAAAGACAGCAATCTAATAATGAAAAATGATTTAAATAATCAAGGAGAAATTAGAGTTCCAAAGGTTTATGTACTAAATAAAAGATTCAAAACATATGAGCAAAAATTGATCAAAGAACAGACACACAAAGGAATATAGTGGCAGATTCCAATACATTTATCTGGTTGATAGAACCAAAAAGGTAGAAAAAAATCAAGAAGTATAATAAACTTTAATGTTGTTGAGTACCTTGACCTGATTTTACCCTACAACATAATAAACATTTTTTATAAAGTACACACTGTGTATTCACCAAGACAGATAATATTCTGGACCATGAAACAAATTTCTATAATTTTTTTTAAATTTATATAATATTCCATATGGTACTAGTAAATAACAATATATTATACATTTGGAAATTGCTCAGAGTATGGATATATAGTGATTTCTACTATGTATACCATATATATATATTATGTATATATCCAGTAATGATATGTTAGTTAGTTGAATAAATCATTGCATACATGTATTTAAACATGATATAGCATAAACATAAACATTTCTAAATAAGTAAAATAAATTGAAAAAATCCAGAAGATTGAAACCTTTTAAATTATGCTATCTAACTATGAATTAGAAACTACGTAAATCCTTTAAAAAATCTCCAAATATTTGGAAACTTTAGTACCTTATTACTAAATCACCTATGGGGAAAAAATCTAAAGAAATAATAAAAACACAACACATCAAAATGTGTGAGATACTATTAAAAAATATTCACAAGGCAATTAGTAGTACTGCATCCTCATCTTAGAAAAATAGAATTTTCAATTCAACCAGCATAGCTTGCTCCTTAAAAATTAAGGAAATAAGAGCAAATTTGAAATAGAAATAATAAAACAACAAAGCACATATTGTGAAATAGGAAAGAAAGAAACAAACCCTACTAGGGTTTGTTCTTTGAAATGATCTGTTCTTTGAATACATTATAAAATTGTTTATCTAGCAGACATTCTTATGTAGAGAGAAAAAATGTAAGTTATGAATAAAAGAAATGAAGAATGGTTGCAATCTCAAACCCTTGATAAATTTGACACAAAGCCCACCTAAGAATTTTTTTTAAAGGCTTGAATAGCTTTACTTTTAATCTGAACTTAAAAACCTTCTCATAAACCGGGTGCAGGTGGCTGACACCTGTAATCCTAACTACTCAGGAGGCTAAGACTTGAAGAATGGGGATCAAAGCCAGCCTGGGCAGGAAAGTCTGAGACTCTTATCTCCAATGAATCACACCAAAAAGCCAAAAGAGTTTTGGCACATATGATATTGCATTAGCCTTGAGCAAAAAAAGCCCAGACCAGAATTCAAGCCACAGGGCTAGCACCAAAAAACAAAAACAGAACAGGCTTTCACTAACGAATTAGGCAAACAAAAGAAAAAGGAAAAACAGTATCAATCTACATAATCCCTTCTAGAAAAAAAAAAGGAATCACTTTCAAACCTATTCTATGAGGATCATCATCTGGTCGCCCAAATTGCCAAGACATTATCAGAAAACTACTACACACAAAGTACCTCATGAACTCCTGCATAAATCTCATACAAATTTCAACAAAGTTCATTTAACAATCTATAACATGGCCAATTTCTCATAGTGTGGTCTCTACTGCAAAGTTGTTTTAAAATAAAAGTCAATATAATTTGTCTTAATAGAAAAAAAAGGGAAAAACATAATCATCTCAACAGGAACACATTCATTCACATTTTTTAAAAAATTCAACAAACTAGGAATATAAGAAAAATGTCCTCAATTTGACAAAGGTCTAATGCTAACAATATTAATAATAAAAAATAAAGAGTAAGTTGTGATGTACTCATTCAAGAGCAATGAAAATGAACAAACCAGTGAAATGCAACAACACTGATCTCACACAGGAAACCAAATACAAAAGAACATATACTGAAAGACTGACAGTAAAACTCAACAGGCAAAACTAAATCATAAGGTTCAGGAATTCACACTTCGGTGGTACAACTATAAAAGAAAGCAGAGATTAAGAAAAGCCAAATTGTACAAATTTAATAACTCATCCAAAATGCTACAAGTATTTTAGATCTCAGAATTTTTGTCTGTTTTGTTTCCTTGTTTCCCCCTCTTTTGGTGCTGGGAGGAGGGCTTGAATTCAAGCCGTAGATGTTGTACATTAGCTTTTTCACTCAAAGCTGGCACTCTATCACTTGAGCCACAGCTCCATTTCTACCTTTTTGGTAGTTAGAGATGAGGGTCTTCTGGCCTTTCTTACTTGGGCTGGCTTCAAACTTTGATCCTATAGGCATGAGCCACTAGTGTTAGCCATTTTTTTTTCTGATTTTGGAATATGAACAAACATAATGTGATGTATTGGGGATGACTCAATTCTAAACACAGAAATTCATTTTTATCATATATACCTCATATATTAGCCTATTAAACTACATAAGTATACTTTAAAAATAAATATAATTTAGAACTATGGGCATGGTTCAAGTGATAGTGTTTGCCTGAAAAGAATAAGGTCCTGAGTTCAAGCCCCAGTACTAACCCTACACACACATAAAAAAAGACATAACTTTTAAGCTCAAGATACACACAATTAAAACACTAATGTTGTCAAATTAAAGTACTCCTAATGCATAAGAATTATGCCAAAGACTGTGTAATAAAATTATGTGATATATGCTCACTTATCAATTTCTAAATAAATGTGATTTATTTTGGGCTGACATCTTAATCATCCATATTTACATCTGGAATATAACAACTTTTCTCTCTTTTAATAATCTGAGACAAACAAAATATTATGATTATGTATTAGCTATGCCTCCTCAGTTCTACAGCTGAAATGTCAAGTCAATTACTTAATAAGATATAATTTTACCTTGTTTAATCTGTCCTTGTACAATATTACTGGAAGTTGGAGGGGAACCCTTTGCCTTAGAAAGGTCTGGGGTGCTTGGTCTAGGTGGCCTTTAAAAACAAGAAGAAAATACATGTGTATAGATATAGATACTTTCACATTTTCTTATTTCCAAAACAATTTAAGATGATTTTCTAGATTCAATTGAATTTAGAAAAGAAACACACAAGAACATTTTAATATTCTGTTACAAAAGATGATAATGTTTTGGTTTTGAACATGCTACTATTTTCCATTTCAGATTTTGGTAAAATGATTACATAATTATCAATTTGCAAGTAAAAAATTTTCATTTCTAATTTCTACTTTCCCATATTTGGTGAAATATTTATAAGTCCTCCAATCAACTTCAACTGACAGGCAAATATTTTTCTCAGTCCTCTGTCTTCTATATTAGCATGAAGAGATTTCAGCCCACTGCCTAGCACTGGTCCAAATGAATTTTTGTAACAATACGATAATTTTTAAAGTATTAATACTGAATATATCAAAAAGGCAATAAAGCATTAAAAAATATTGGACCCTAAGGCTCCACTTGAATTCTGGCTCTACCAATTACTACTTATGAGACCTTTGGCAAGTAACTGTTACTTTGGCAAGTAACAGACCTTTGACAAGTATCTGTTTTCTTATCGTTATAACAGGATAAAAAACCCATCTACCTTATATAAGGATGACAGGCAATAATAAATTATTTTCTACATAAAGTAATTACAACAAAGCTTAACACAATATAGATACTACACAAATATTTTCTAGGCTAAAACCATTCTTCATATGGTCAACTACATACAGTGTAAAAAGTTAATAGGAAATGGCATTTCACAATCATCAAAATAGCCTACATTTAAAAAGTTGTTTTCTCTTTCCCTATTAGAAAACTCTGACCATACTTCTAGCAAAATCCAGAAGCCAATCACCAAACATACATTATTCATTGCTTATGGTTTACAATAAGAAGCATGCTAACCAAATAAACATTTGACACTTGTAGTGTCATTTTAAGGTTATACTTGCACACAAGCTAGTCTATGTGACCAACTCTCACACTCTGATTTTTTTTTAATTTTAGGATCTGTGTGTGTGTGTGAGAGAGAGAGAGAGAGAGAGAGAAAGGGAGAGAGAGAGAGAGTGCATGTGTGTGTGTGTGTGGTATTGTTTTAAACCAGAAATTCACGGAGATCTCTTTTAAGAGATTTAAAGGGGAAGTTTAAAGGGGAAACATTGAGATGACATTAAAATAGTGACAGTGTATAGTCTCAAAATAATTTAAAAAGTAATAAATAAGAAAAATAGAACAGGTATCTTTTATTGAACATAGGAAGAAAATCAAACTATTATGATCACACCTGGCTGGGCCCTTCTTCATATGATCACCAATGAAAGTTGCGTTGGTCATACTCATTAAGGTATTCGCCAAAGATATGATAGATAGGAGATGTTGGGTGGTGACTGCTCGAGACACGCCATAAGTTCCCTTTCCTACTCCCTCAGAGGTTGACAGCTTCCTTCCTATTTCTGCCTTCCCATGGAGTAGTTTACAAGCAGCCTGATTATAACCAGGAAGCATCAATGACATATGACCTCCTCTCGATAAGAGGCCAAATGACACTGAGCAATGTGGTTTCAGCATTCCAAGGCGATCAAGACAAACTTCATCCAAAACTTCATTTAAACCCCAGGCATGAAGGCAGGACATAAACAATTTCGCAGTGTCCATAGTTAAATTATACTCTAATAGGGTTAATGGCTTGGATTTGCTGGCCCGATATTCAGGGTCACTTTCTTCCCTTCTTTGCCTCAATATCTCCTCATCCTCCTCTTCCTCATCCAGTAGGTGTTCTTTTATGTTCTCCTTGATAGTTTCTTTCACTTGTTGGAAAAGAACTGCTGCTCGTTTTCCAGTTAGAAAAGAGCCCCCTTTGTCTGAACTGCCAGATGCTTTTTGCAAATTCTCAGGGGAAATAAGAGCAGTATTCGGCCTAGAGGCTTCCTCAGTCAGGAGTTGAATAATCAACGCTTCCACATCAAAGAAAAGCACATGTATGTCCGGGTCTGTTAAGTTTGTCTTTATTGCTTGAACCATCAGGGAGTTGTGAGAATATTTAGGTAAATTCCCCTGCAACAAAAATTTTTTAAAGAGAGTTACAATTAAGAGTGCTTAATTTCAACATTCATTAATAAATAATAAAAACAAAGTATACAATAGGTTGTCTTCATAAGGATTTATATCACTAAAAGTAACTTGAAGTTAGCCCATCAATATAATACAAAAGATATGAACTTCTGCAATCAGAAGAACTTCATGGTTAGTCATAAATCTGTGTATTAAATTCCGAACATACAGACAGACATACTCATGGAGTAGATTAAAATTTGCTTCTATAATTTAGGAAATTCTATTTCTGAGAAAGAATTACCACTCCATCTGAAAGAAAAATCTGTTTATCATGGTAGCCAATCCTTTCGAATTAACCAGACCTTTGTTTTACTATTTTTATGGTCAACCTCTCAGGTTCACAGATTCATTTCCATCCACAAAAATATATGCTCTAATCTTGTTTCATTTAGATACTCAAAAAAAAAAATCACTGTGACCATTACCCTTCTATGTCTCTTACCCTCTACTGTCCCTCATACCCAAATTTACTGAAAGTAGTGGTAGCAGACTAATTAATTCAATAGCAACTCTTTGGTCCCTCTTTCCATTATCTTTGCAGCATCTGACCCTGTTGTTTTAGCTGAGAAACATAGATTGTAAATAACAAGAACGATTAAGGCCAGGTGTGATAGCTCACGCTTATAATCCTAGCTTCTCTGGAAGTGGCAGTTAGGTGGATCACAGTTCAATCCAGCCCAGGAAAAATATTTCTAAGACCCCTCTATCTCAATCTATACAAATACTGAGCATGCATCACTCATCCTAGCCACAAAGGATACTGAAATAAGATGACAATCCTGACAGACCTGTGCATAAACGTGAGACCCTATTTTAAAAATAAAGCTGCCTACCCCAAACTCAAACCTCAGTACTATGAGACAGAGATAGAAGAACAAGGAGGGTGAAGAGGTAACAGGAGAGAGGGAGAAGTAGGAAGGGGGGGAAGGGAGAGAAAAGGAGGGAAAAGAAGGAAGGGAGGGCAGAAATTGAGGGGGAAGAAAGGAGGGAGGGGAGAGAGTAGAAGGAAGTAAAAGAAGAAGGGGAAGAGAAAGAGGAAAGAAAGAGAAAGAAAGAGAAAGAGAGGGAGGGAGGGAGGAAGGAAGGAAGGAAGGCAGGCAGGCAGGCAAGCAGGCAGGCTGGGAGGGAGGGAGGGAGGGAAAGAAAAAAAGAAAGAAGGACGGAGTAAAAAGTCATCTTACAGCATACAAAATATCCTCCTAATGAGCCTTTGAATTTTCTCTCTGCTTCTCCCCCTCTGCTTCTCTCTCCCCCAACTTTACTTCTCAGCCACTCTGATTAAAACATGCTTCCTCCATATTAGAACTATTACCTACAAGTAGATGGCTTCCTCATTCCAGCCAGACATCCACTGAAGGTATACTAATCCAGTATTTTTTTTTTAAGTTTTATTGTAAAGGCGACATACAGAAGGGTTACAGTTACCACTTACAGTTATAAGTCAGGCGATGAGTATATTTCCTTTTGAACAGTGTCACTCCCTCCCTGTTTACATATAACTGTTTATATATGGATGTCCCACCACAGCCATTATTTACCATATGCTCGCTCCACACGCCCACTAAACCTGATGCACCTCTAGCACCTTCAGGAATCAGTCCTTGTCCTTTCTCTCACACTGACTATATAATTCTGATAAGGTCTTTGCCCACAGGCAGGTTTCATTAGTCCTCACCTCATCTCACTATAGAGAGAGCCACAGAGCCACAGACATTCTTTCTGAAGTACATATCGAATCAAGTCATTCCAAAAACACATTTCCACTATCACAAATTACTAAGAGATATGGGAAATCTAAATATCTGAAAGGTAAATCAGGAAACAGGTGAGACAATACTTTCTATGTATGCTTATATTGAAAATTCTCTGCCACACCCTCTAGTGGGTTAAAAGGCAAATATGAAATAGTAATCAAAGTGTCAGAATAGAATACTTAAAGATTGATATTCCTTAAAATCAGGGAGAAAAATACTAATGATAAAAAAAAAAAAAGAAATGGGCTGGGAAGGTGGCTCAGTGGTAGAGTGCTTGCCTTGCATGCATAAGGCCCTTGGTTCGATTCCTCAGCTCCACATAAGCAGATATCTATCTATCTATATATATATATCTAGATATGGATATATACATATATCCATATCTAGATATATATATAGAAAGAGAGATATATAGCTATATATATATAAAAGAAACTGTAAAAGTCAAGAGCAATTCACAGTGAAAGACAATAAAAATAGGAAAAACCTTTGTCAAACTCTTTGTCAAGGAGAACGATAGTTAAAATAACCATAAGATACTATTATTTTTTTGGGGGTCCAGTCGTGGGGCCTGAACTCTGGGCCTGGGTGCTGTCCCTCAGCTCTTCAGCTCAAGGTTAGCGCTCTACCACTTGAGCCACAGCACCACTTCCGGCTATTTTTTTCTTTTTGCTTATATGGTACTGAGGAATCGAACCCAGGGCCTCATGCATGCAAGGCAAGTGCTCTACCACTGAGCCACCTTCCCAACCCCTACATAAGATACTATTAACAAACAGAGAACAGTGAACACTAAAAGTAGTATAGTGAAAGACAGACAGACAGACAGACAGACACACACACACACACACACACACACACTCATGCACAATGAAGGCATGCATTTAAATATCAGCCTTTTGGAATGGTAATTTGGCAAAATAGCTTGAGCCCTTATGATTGCTATTGCGAGATCTACTAAATTTATTTCCAGCATACTATCCTAAATAGAAATACAGACAAACATTCATGTACAAAAATGTTTAGTAAAACAACATCCACTGTTTAAAAATGGAAACAATGTATACAGTTGACAGGAAATAGGTTAATTAATTTTAAGCATAGCCACATAATAGAAGAAACATTGCAAGTACTACAAATCATGTTTTCTGGATATATTACATCATATGGCAAAATGTCCATGACCCAGTGTTAAGAAAGATAAAACCATATTCGTACACACATACATACACACACACACACACACACACACACACACACACACACACAGACTTCTAATTTAACTTATTTAATGATTACATTAAATGCATACATATGTATAGGAGGAGAGATTGGAGGAAAATATGATACAAAAATGTTAGTAGTAATTATTTGGAACAGAATTATAGAACATTCTGTTCATATTTTTGTATATATCTTAAATTATATATAATCAATATATGTTATTTTCATAACCAGAAAGTGAAGCTGGAGAATAAAATATAAACTCCTTCAGCACAGGATTCAAGGTGCTTTATAGTTTGACAGAACACTTTTCTAGCTTTAACAGGCTCTAGTATAACTATGGTTCCTCAGACATAAATCTTTTTATTTATCCCTTTGCCCCAATCTCTTACTCCATTCTAATTGTTTCTCTTCCAACAAGAGCCCAATTCTGTCATTCACAATGTATAAAAAGATCAAATTGTAACAGTGTATACCTTGAATATATGTATATATTTTTTTTTGGCGGGGGACTGGCCTGGGCGCTGTCCCTCAGCTCTTCAGCTCAAGGCTAGAGCTCTACCTCTTGAGCCACAGCGCCACTTCCGGCTTTTTTCTTTTTGCTTATATGGTGCTGAGGAATCAAACCCGGGGCGTCAGGCATGCAAAGCAAGCGCTCTACCACTGAGCCACCTTCCCAGCCCCACCTTGAATATATTTTTGTCAGTTATCTCAGTAAAATTGAGAAGACTCTAATTTTCCCAGGGACTGTTAGCCCACACTGCAACCCCCATAACATTCTATATCTACCATGTGTTACACACCTTTATGTTTTTGCTATATTAATATATTGAGTTATTTTAAATATTTATATTTTCTTGTGCTCAATGGAATAATTTCAAAAGCAGGGCCAAACCATATCTTACTTGTCTAACTTTATTTTTTTGTCAGTCGTGGGGCCTAAACTCTGGGTCTGGGTGCTGTCCCTCAGCTCTTCAGCTCAAGGCTAGTGTTCTATCACTTGAGCCACAGCACAACTTCTGGCTTTTTCTGCTTATATGGTGCTGAGGAATTGAATCCAGGGCCGCATGCATGCAAGGTAAGCATTCTACCACTAAGCCACCTTCCCAGCCTTATCTTGTCTAACTTTAAATACCAGAGTACCTAAAAAAATAAAAATACATAAAAAAATAAACAACCACAATTTTTGTCTAGGCACCAAGGCTTAAGCTTGTAACCTAGCTACTCAGAAGGCAGAGATCTGAGAACTGAGGTTCAAATCCAGCTCAGTCAGGAAAGGCCCTGACATTCTTATCACTAATTAACCACCAAAAAGCCAGAAGTAGAGTTGTGGTTCAAATGGTAGAGCACAACCTGCAGCAAAAAAACACACAGACAGTCCTAGACTCTGAATTCAAGCCTTCCACCCCTGCATACACACACACACACACACACACACACATACACACACACACACACACACACACCTTCTCCCCACAAAAATCCTTTATGAAATTATTGAAGTTGAAGTGGTGCTGTGGCTCAAAGTAGTAGAGCATTATTCTTGAGCACAAAAGCTCAGGGATAGCACTAGGGTAACAATGCTCGATAGGAAATGTACCCATTACCTTACTCATGTAACTGTAACCCCTCTGTACAATAATATATAAATAAAATTAAAAATAAATAAATAAAATGATTAAAGTTGCTAAGCAATTATTCTATAAGTAAAATTATCACAAGTCTCACTATCCAGTCTCTCTTTTGTCTCCATTTGTCTTCCTATTTTTTGTTACAGCTTCAGTGGTATCAAAAACATTTTATAACTTGAGGATAAAGTTCAGACATATTCACAAAACACAAAACATTCTCCAGAAGATATTAGTGGCTACCCCTCCAACTTCATCTCTAACCCATAATCCCTGTAACATCCAGGGCCAAATCAAATCACTTCCCCCTCTAGAGCCATGCAGTTTCAGGTAA